AACTCAGGGCCTTGCTCTAGCCTGAACCTCTCCACCAACCCTGTCCAACACATTCTTGTCTATAAAGCCCAAACTTGTGGTTTCTTCTATTTTGTTCTCTTCATTTCTTCCTGTCTTTCCTTCCCTCTTGTACAATCACTAGAGTCAGCATGTGGTATCTTCTTACATGCTCATTCTTCATTCAGTCAGCCTACACATCTCCCTCATTGGTCCTTATAGAATATTTTGTGAATTCACATAGAATCCCCTTCCAGATTATCTGAGAATTGTTTGAAATATAGTTTCCTTGGCAATTTCTGTATATTAGGTGTTATTGGCTAGTCCATTCTTGAAACTTTTCTCTTCTTTCTATTTTGGAGACTGCAGAGATTATAATAGATCAGATAATGAAAGAATTTACACAGCATACTTATGTAAGGCTTTCTTAAAAGGTAACAGAGAAAGAAAGTGCAAACAAGTTATCAGGAGACCAAGAGACGTCTAGAAGACAAGTAAAGTCTCTGCTTTTCTGGAGTTTCAAACTAAAAATAATGACATGAAATAAAATCAACTAATAAGAAAATGTATTGTAGTGATACGTGCTATGATGGAATGAAAGTTGGATGCTATGACTCTGTGAGGCCACTGAGGTGGTCATGAAAGTCTTTTCTCTAGAGATGACACTTAATATGGCATCTCAGTATCAAGAAGGTGTGGGCATGTGAGTTCCTGGACTACAATATCTAAGCAAGGGAAATGGCTGACACAAAATCTGGTAGACTTTTAATGAGTCTGGAGGTGGGGAGTAGGTTTGGGAGTTTAGACCATTGTGACTGAGAGAATGTTATCAAGTAAGAAAGAACAGAAAAATTGGTAGTGGCACATCCAAGAGTTCCTAAAAAAAATGAAATACTGATATTGAACTTTATTTGAAAATATATCAACAGCAAAGTGGTGATTTCCGTGGGAAGAATTGATGGGCTTGACCACAGAAAGTCTAGGTTTGCATCCTAATGTTACTATTTCTTAAGTTTATGGCTTTGGATAAAGTGTTTATGTTGTGCCATTAAGAAAATGCATGTCAGGTTACAATAAAGGCACTGCACACCCATGTTTATTGCAGCTTTATTCACTATAGCTAAACTATGGAAACAGCCTAGATCCCCCTCTACTGATGTATGTATTAAGGAAATGTGGTATTTATATACAATGAAATTTTATTCAGCCACAAATAAGAGTAAAATTCTGTTGCTTGCAAGTAAATGATGAAACTGGAGAACATAATCTTAAGTGAATTTAGCCAGGTTCAGAAAGCAAAAGCTGCATATTTTTTCTCATATGTGGGATATAGACCTAACAAAAATACAGCAATATTGTGAAAAAACAGGCCGTGCTAACGGGAGGTGACATATGAGAGGGGAATGGTAAAAGAAGGTAGTTAAGAAGGGTAAAAGAAGGTTGATGTATTTCCTATACAAGGATGGCTACAGAATTTTTAAACATGTTGAAAAATAGAGGAGATGAACTAATTTGAGTTATAATACATATAAACATAGAAATGTCACAGGAAAACTCCCTGTGTAGCTATCTTAAACAAGCAAAAATGTTATTTTTTTCCTTTTACAAAATCAGAGAACAGGAGGGCTGAACAGGTCCTGTCTGGGAGTAGGGGAGGGCTGGTGCTAGTTGAAGGGGGGAACAGGTGGGGAAAGGGTGAGGGAGAGTGAATATAGTAAAATACTGTGTACACACATATATAAAACAGAAAAACGATACCTGTTGAAGCTATTCTGGGAATGAGGGAAAGGGAGGATAAAGGAGAATGATGGAGGGGATGAATTCACATACAATATATTTGATATATTGTAAGAACTTTTGTAAATGCCACAATGTACCTCTAACCCAGCATAACAATAAAAAAAATCAAAACTAAAGAAATTTTTTGGGTAAAAATGAAAGGATGAGCGTAAATCAAAAAGAAAAGTAGTAATTCATATATAATATATAATTTCATTTGCATGCATTTCCTGAAATTTAAAAAAATTAATCATTATTTACAGTAAAGCTCAGTCATTCTACTTAAGGTTGTGTGGAGGTCAGCTTGGAGAGTTACTGGCTTGAATGTATAAGTACAAACTTTTTGGTGTGATGAAAATTTTCTATATCTTTCTTTTAATTTGGTTACATAGGTTTTCACATTTGTTGAAAATCCCTGAGCAGTGTATTTAAAAAGAATAAAATGGATCTACTTTGTCATATGTAAATCATACTTCTGCTAAATTAATAAGTAAATATTTAATGATTTCTTACAACTTAATAATAAGCATTTGAGTTATCCAATTAATTAAAAGAAGAAAATGATAGTTTGAGCTAAATATATATGCTTTACCACTATTAGAGAAATAAATTATTTTTCTAGAATTTTTGTGGGTTTTTATATCAGGCTTAGTTAATAAATGAGATGGGTGGTTCTAAAGTGTATATTCACATAATAGAAACCACATTCATGTAGTTTAATTGAGCAAAATAAAATGTTTTATAAGTATTCCTCCAATCCTTTATTAGTGCAAAATAATCAATTCGTAATCAATGTAATAGTGAAATTGCTTGAAGAATAGAGTCCAAGGGTTAGGTTTGAATCTACTCCTCGTCCTTCAATATTAGCTGATCTCTTGAGTAAGCTACTTATTCTGAATTTCCCAATAATATACTAAGAGGAAGAGAGCAAGACAGGAGGCAGAAGAGAGACAGATGGGGAACCTTAATCAAGAGATTTTGTACGATGACACAAGCTCATTTCTACACGGTTGGTGTTTAATGAGTACTGATTAATATTTCCAAAACTCAATTGTTGTGTTATATAACTTTTATTTATTTTCCAGACTCCTATTTGATTCTCTACACATGTTGTACATAAAGCCAGAGAAAAACCTTTGAAGAAGTATAAAAACCATAGGAACCAGAGACCAGACAGGAATTTTTCCAGAGGAGTTAAATATATCTATCTAAGACTTTAGCTGCATGTATCCTCTATATGCATTTTATTTTTACTTAACATTTTTATCCATAGAAGACCATTTATTTATCCATTCAGTAAGTATGATTTGAAGAACTGTGCATCAATTTTTGCTCTAGGACATGGCAATATTTTCACTGAGCTTACATTGTAGGTGAGTGGACAGATAGTACCAAACCACTGTCAGATTGATTGTTCAGTTACAGTTGCAGTGAGTGTTATGAAGGATCCATGCATATGCTAGAAGGCCTTAATCTGTTTTGTTTTGAGTAATCTTGAAATAAAAAGAGATCTGGAACAACTGAAACTGTATTCCAGAGATACATAGAAAATTGTCAAACTTTATAGGGCCATTTTGGAGTATATTGGTCCAGATTTCTGAAATTCCAGTATAATGATTTTCTCTTGATTCCTTTCATACTGAGAAACTGATATGCTATAAGGAGAACACATTATTTCAACTTTAACTCTTCTTGCTTTTTCAACACTGGCCTTTTTTTTTTGTAACTTAGTATTTGTCCCAATAGAATAGAAGGAGAAGGACTTTGCCTTAAATGTGAAAGTTATTAGATAATATATTTCCTTCAGAATATATTTTGAATATGTGAGCATAATCAGGACTGTTCAGCCATGATCCACTCACTTTCCTATTTGCTTAGTGCTGTTTGATTTTCTTCTTGAATTACAGGATGTTTTTTCTTGGACAAATATGGCTTTCAATAGTATGTGCTTGTATACAAATAAAATATACAGCACATGTTTCTAAAAGGGGATTTTTGTGGTAATGAAGACATTACTATAAACAAAGATTTAATGTATCTTCACCCAAACCGACTCCTCCCACAATTTTCCCTATCTTTTGAAACGCCATAATTCTAGTTTCTAAGGCAAACAAATTTTGGCATGATTTTTTTCCCATTATGCTACTTCTCTTGCAATCCACAACAAATCTGTCTGTAAATGTCAAGTCTCAATCACCAAGACATATCCAGAATTCTGTCTCTTCTCACTACCTTTGCTGTATCCATACTGGTCCATGTTACTTTCAACTTTGACCTGATTCATGTAATATTTTCCTAATTGATCTCTGTGATTCATAACCTACAAGCAGACAGGATGATTAATTCCTCCTCTCTGAACAATGTTAACCTACAGGAAAGTTACAAGAATAGAACAATGATCGCGTATGTATTCTTATCTGGATTTATCAGTTAACATTTTGCCACATTCACTGGTCTCTTTCCCCACTATCCACTGCACATGCATACACATACACACACATACACACATACACACACAAATTTATACATCCCTATTATAATGACACATTTAGACATTTTAGTTTAAAATAGTCCTTCAACTTGAAACTAATTTCTATTACAAGGAAGCAAAAAAATACAAGATAATGTTTTGCCACTCTATTTTTCCAATCTATGTTTAAAATTACTATTTTTTCATGGAAAACCCCTCTTGTTTACTTGATTAAACAAAAATAAAATAAGCTACAAAGGAATAATTTTAAAATCCAAAGAGAGACCAACTTTATGTAAGGCTGTGGTAACTGATGCAGCATCCCCATGCCACCTTCTGGCCCTCTCTGTGAATCCTGCTGACTCAGGAGTTTGGTACATCATTTTTTTTAACCTACTTATTGCCTGACATGTCTGCAACACACAATATTAATATTTAAGGTTTAAAATAAAAGTCAAAAGAAGGGGGTAAAAAAATAACAAAGACCCACTCTTGCCTAAAGGTTTGGGGAAATTCTTGCACTTATTAATGACAGGATTGGATCCACACTACTACAGCAATGCCCATCCTAAACATGACAAAAGACAGAAGGCACCCACACTGGCTTGAAGCATGGTTCCTGAAGCCAGGGGAGCTATTCTGGTGGTGCCTATGACTCCTATAGGTTTACTTAAAACCTAAAACCTGAAAACACTACAGGTTAAATTTGGTTGTTCTAATATCAGGCAACATGCCTCTGTTAATGTGTCATTTTTTACAGAGAAAGTATCCCACCATTCAGAAATTTTTTTAGGGCGTCTTTGACATCCTTGTTTCTAAGGCTATAGATAAGAGGGTTAAGCATGGGGATCACTATAGTATAAAACACAGAGGCCACCTTCTCCTGCATTGTGTCACTGGTAGATGGTTTAAAATACATGAAGACAATGGAGCCATAGAAGACCCCAACAGCTGCAAGATGGGAGCTGCAGGTACTGAAGGCTTTGGACCTGCCATCGCCAAGCGTATGTGCAGGATGCTGACAAGGATGCAGGCATATGAGACAAAGATGACTAAGGCACACACAAATACATTCAATCCAACCAGAATCATCACCAAGAGCTCCTTGGTAGAGTCTCTTGAGCAAGATGTATTCAGAAGAGGGAGGGTGTCACAGAAGTAATGGTGAATAACATTAACTCCACAGAAAGAGCGAGTAGATATATAACTGGCATGAACCAAGGCCCCAAAGGCCCCCACTGCATAAACACTGGTGACCAGTAGCAAACATACTCTGTGAGACATGGTGACATTGTAGAGCAAAGGGCTGCAGATGGCAACATAATGATCATACGCCATGGCTGTCAGCATGTAGGAGTCGTCAATACCAAAGAAGCAGAAGAAAAAGAGCTGGGTCATGCACTCAGGAAAAGATGTGAAATTCTCCTCTGATACAACGTTCACCAACATCTTGGGGATTATGACAGAGGAGTAGCAGAGATCTATGAAGGACAAATTACTGAGAAAGTAATACATGGAAGTGTGAAGCTGAGAGCTGATTCTGATTAAAAGGATCAATCCCAAATTTCCCATCAAGGAGACTACATAGATTAATATAAACAGGAAGAAGAGTGGGAGTTGGAGTCCTGGCTGGTTTGTTAACCCCTCAAGGACAAAGACATTTCCTAAAGAATGATTTCCTGTGTCCATTGTTCTCCAAGTTGTGATAGGTTGAGTGATTAAAGGGAGACATTCCCTTTAGACAAATATTGTCATCTGATAGATTTTCATGGTTTGAGATCCGAGGAAAGACATAATTTCCAACAGAACAAGAATTTTAGAGCCTAAACTCAACGGAATAAAATCTGCTTTTAACTGAATTCTTATCAAGATAGTGATACTTCATTTGACTTTAGTTTATTACATTTAGAAGTGAAACTCATTTGACTTTCATTTTTATTTATTCACATGTAGACAGTTAGAGGCGAAACTCATTTTGACTTCATAAATCAAGCTTTAGTTTTTCCTATAAAAGAAAAATACCCTGCTGTCATCCAATTATCTTCAGAGAGTATCTGCACAGTCTCTACTTATTTACATAGTTTTCTGTCTGCAACAATTTGTGCTTTTCTCTGATGCCTTGGAACTTGACTCCTCCCTTACTGATGATCCTTGAATTTCCCTTCTGGTTTCAGTGTCTTTATTTAGCTCCTTTAGCCTGTGACTCTAATAATTTGTTCTCCTCCAAGCTTTCCATCATCTTTTGGAGTCACTGGTCTTGAGTTTACATTTCTTTGCTTCTGCTCATGTTTCTGGAAATGTGAGGGGAATGGAGCAATGCTGGAGAGGGTGGGAAGGAGGTGATGCTAGCAGAGAGCTATTGTCACGACAAAAGGAAACTTAGGAGAAGGAAAGTAATAGCAAAAGTGTGCTCCAAGTTACTGAGACCTTTTATGTGCCAGGAATATGCTGAGACTTCATTAAATCATCAAAACAACCTGTGGGAGAGATAGAGTCACTACCTCCTTAGAGATTGAGAGGAACAGAGAAAGAGATTAAATTCTTGCTCTAAGTCACAAAGCTTGAAAGTAATATTATTTTGCAATTTCACAAATGTATTTATGTAAATTTTCCATGGTCGTCTAGTAATTGTGACAACTAGGACTTGTTTCTTTATCTATTTTATTTAAAAAACAGGGCCTTGTAAAACTGCTTTTTGGGGGTTTTTTGGTCTGAATCTGAACACAGCATGGTAATTTCTGCTCAGCTTTAGTTATTGTTACTAATTATTATTTCTAAACCATTGCTTCTGATAGTTTTTTAAATAGATTTGATAAGCATTGAAATCATTTTGGCCTCATTTTATGTAAAATTTGACTGTCTCTTTAATACCCTTAAGGGGAAAGAAACAGAAATGGAGGGGATAGAGGTGCACACTCTCATGTGCAGAAGTTATGCTGTGTAGAAATGCCCTTCAGTTCCTATAATACAGCTTGTTATAAAACAAAAATCACAGAGTAACTGAGAATGCAAAATTTTCCTTCAACTCTTCAGTTTTAAAACATGTTGTGAAATAAAACATTTCTCGTTACAATGATTGGGATGAAGCATGATTGAGTACACCAAGATCAGGTGGGTGTCAGTGAAACATTGAACAAGCACACAGAATGTTTATGAGAAATAACACTCAGATATTATGTGGTAAACTCATTAACATTTCCAAACACAGTTCTCTCTGTTAAAACCAGGTTTACCAGAATTTCACAAGGTAATACCCCACCTTATCTCAAACGATTTAAAACAACTTATTTTCATGCAACTTCTGATGCTATGCAAATTCCTTTGCATTGACTTCTCCTGCTCCCAAAGCCACTTTTAACTCTTTAAAAAGCTATTGTATAATTTATTATACGATATTTGTGCTTTAGTGTGATGATTAAAAGCTCAGGTTTTAAAGTCACATGGAACTGAATTCATTTTCAAGCATGGTCACCTCCTAGAAGCTCCATTGGCAAAGATAAGAAGAATGCTTAATCACCTTCCAAAGTTCAGTTTCCACTACAATACCTTACCAAAGAAAGGTCTAACTGACTTATTATCATCAGGGAAATTTCCACTGGTTTTATTTGTCTTTATTTGTAGTTTCAGGTAGTGCATGTATGTGAACACACACACACACACACACACACACACACACACACGAGATTATCAGATGAGCTTGGTGTCTTTCAGAGCCTGGAAAAAGAGTGGAGTTGATTCTGTACAAATTTCAAAGAATATTGACAAAGAGTAACAGTTTAATACCCAACCAAGCAGAGCAAAAAATGTAATCCTCTGGACCCTGGGTCTTGTCTTATTAAAGGAAAATTTTATTTGGATCTAGTTGGACCTGAGGAGATGATCATGAGTTAATGTTCCCCTTAGGACTTGTCATCCCATTTGTTAGAGCCTATTGGGAAGAAACAATCACAAAATTCATGTTTGGTGGAAATACAGAAACATTCCTAGTAATCTCTGAGGTATTTAAAACAGAAAAGATGAAACTTTTCCCCCTGAGTGTTAGGGATACTAAGAATACTTCCATAATAAATATCAAATGTTTGGCACCAAGCAAAAATTAAATTGTTTAATCAAAACTAAATAATATTTTCATCAGCATTTTAAAATATCTATAAATTACTACAAACTCATTTCATGACTTCCAAGCACAGGAGCATTTAAAAATTTTCATGCCATTTGTCATTTTGGAGTATGACATGTGAAAAACATGAGTGATTAATTTCTTTCTATAATTTCCAATAATATAATCTGGCTTTCAAGACAATATGTATGTCTATAGAATGTATGTATTCATACAATTCACTAGCTCAGACCTAATTTCAACACATGACTTTTTGCCAATATAAATTATTGTGAATTGTCTTTTTATTTCTGTATCAAGATTTTAGCAGCTCTATCATTGTTTAACGCATGACAGTAGCAAGTTTAAAGTGCATAATTTTATTTTAATTTATTGGGGTTTTTTGTTTCTTTGTTTGTTTTGGTGATACTCAGGTTTGAACTAAGGGTTTCACACTTACAAGGCAGGTACTCTACTGCTTGAGCCATGACTCCAGCCCTTTTTGCTCTAGCAATTTTGGAGATAAGGTCTTGCTTTTTGTCCAATCCAGCCTGGAATGTGATCCTCCTGATCTCAGCCTCTTGCATATCTTGGATTGATAGGTTTGTGTTACCTCACCCAACTATTGGTTGAGAAGGGGTCTTGCAAACTCCCTTCTGAGGCAGACCTCAAACTGCCATCCTCTTAACCTCAGTCTCCCAAGTAGCTAAGATTACAGGTATGTACAACTTGAGTGTACAATTTTAGATAAAATTGACATGTAAATTTACCTATGAAGTTACATGCCAAAGTAAAAAAATGGACAAATCCATCCCCCCAATTTTTTTTCATGCACTTTTCTAATCCTTTCTTCTCAACCTTTTTACATCCCATCTCTAGGCAATCATAAATCCACATTCATCACTACAGATTAGTTTGCACTAATTATATACTGAGAGAAAAGTAAAATGCATACGATTTACTTGACTTTTTCTTCAATAAAATTACTTTGAGATTCACCCACACTCTTGTATGTGTTGTATCATCAGATTGCCCAGTGTGAACCTTTGTTGAGATCAGTTGACAAACCCTATGTGGGTTGTATCTTGATACCAGTACCACAGTGTCTTGCTAACTATAACTCCATAATATGCTTTGAATTCTATAATGAAAATCTTTCAACATATTTTGTATTTTTTCTCTTCTAGGCCTTTTGAATTTCTTTATGAAATTTAGTTTCAGCTTATTGAATTTTACAAAATGCCTATTGGGAGTTTGATTGAGAAAACATTGAGTCTACAAATAAATTTGATGAAAATGGACATCTTTTAATAGTATTGAGTCTTCTGATGCAGGAAGAGAGTTTAGGTTAATCTAATTCTCTCAATAAGGTTTTGTACTTTTACTTATAATAATCATACACATATTTTATCAGATTTGTTACTAATGATTCAATATATTTGGTGTTTTTGTAAATATTTTAAAATTTCAATTTCCTATAGTTCATTGAAAATGTATTGAAAAGATTTTTAATACTGTTCAAGTATTGTACAATTTACACAAAATTACTATGTATAGTACCTTATTATATAGATGCTATGTTTTCTACATAGACAATCATATTGTATATAATTAAATGGTTTGCTTTTTGATAAGCTTTATTATTATATCCTTGTTTGTCTTCATTGCTCTGGATTTTATCCTATTTTATATTACTATATCCACTGCTCTGTTGTAAATTAATGTGTACATAGTATTTATTTTTTCACCCTTTTACCTTTACCTACTACATCACTTTATTTTAAATGAATGTCCTGTGTACAGTATACAGTTGTGTTGTTTTCCTTTTTCTTAGCTCTGGTGAATTTAGACCACTTCCCATTCAAGTAATTTGTAGGGTGACAGACACTGAGCTTGTCATTTTATTGTTGGTTCTCTGTGCGTTCATTCTATTTCTATTTCCTCTGACTTTTCCTTCACTTTATTATTGAATTTTATAAATACATTTTAGAATATTATTTTATTTTATTTACTGTGAACAAAATTGCAAACTACATATGTTAGCTATTAAAATGTATAAGGAGAAAAACTCCATTGAAGAAGAAAAAAATGAATTATGATCTAGAAGAAATAAAACAGGTTCTAATAATGTTTGTAGAATTATCACAATGAAATCCCCTCAGATTATTAAGGTATAATAAATAAAAATAACATATTTAGGGGTGAAAATATAGTTATTACGATTAAATATAAATTAGTATTTGAGTTAAATCCTACACTAGTCATTGTTGAAGACAATTGGGGAATAGAAATGATCACTGAGAAATTAGTGAATTTAGAAAAAAATGAGTCCTAAGAGATAACTTAGAATGCAGTAATGAGAGAAGAAAAGAACTTAAAACGTGAACAAACAACCATTTAAGAGACAGGGATAGCAGATTGAAAACATTTATTTTTAATTTCTCCAAGAGAATTGGAGAAGATCTGCAAAGCAATGCTGTATTGAAACAAATAACTGATGGCACTTTTTTTCAATATCAAGAAAGACATTAATCCTGAGACTCAAAATGAATTATTCACTCGTATTTTTTGAGACTTACTTATGAGTTCA